GAGATGGGGTCTCTTGAGTGTCCCAGGCTGGCCTCTTAACTCTTTATGTAGCCCAGACTAACCTTGCCTGGAGATCCTCCTGCCTCAGCCCCCTGAATGCTAGGCTTATGGTGTGCACCATTACACCGTCTACTTACTTACTTACTTACTTACTTACTTACTTATTCAAAAATGGTTTGGGTATGAGTCATTGGACCTGAGTTTTAATTAAAATAGCCACAGTGAATAACCACTTTTTAGGCTAATAAGTATAAATTAACTCAGATTTTGGTTCTCTTGTTTAGTATTTCTTTTGGATTCTTAGTATGTATTAACATAGGTTACTTACTTAAAGGTAGCAGATTGAAAAGTTTTAGGATGAAATATGGAATCAGGGACTTGAGTCTACTTAAGTATTTGTAACTTGTGATCAATCCAATATTCTATTTCTTTTAGAATTTTGAGCCCTAAAAAATGACTCTTAATAATTACCAAGTTTATAGGAAAGATGCTAACAAATTTTAAATATTAACTCTTATGCATCCTTTGGTTATTTTTTTTCCCACTTAAGCTTTGTTTCTTGTTGACTTACACATTTCTTTTAAATCTTACTGAATGATCAGTAGTCTGAATTATGTATATTGTAATTTTAAAGTCCTACAGTTTTTCCCTGAAACTTTTGAGTCTTGGGATTGAACTTCTAATTGTTTCCAGAAATAATGCCTTTGAAAGTTGAAATTGTCCAGGTTTACATTGTAAATGGCACTCAACACTCAGCTTTTAGATTATCTAAATTAAAGAAAGACATTGCCTGCAGTAGTTTGAGAGCTTAATATAGTAGCTGGGCATTCATTCTTGCAGCTAAAAACTTGGTGTGATAAACAGGAGTCTGACCTGGCCGTTGCCTTTTCTCATCTGCAGGTGTGTGTGGTTTCAGCGCAGCATGGCTGTGGTCATCCGTTTGCAAGGTCTCCCAATTGTGGCAGGGACCATGGACATTCGCCACTTCTTCTCTGGATTGACCATCCCTGATGGGGGCGTGCATATTGTAGGGGGTGAACTGGGTGAGGCTTTCATCGTTTTTGCCACTGATGAAGATGCAAGGCTTGGTATGATGCGCACAGGTGGTACAATTAAAGGGTCAAAAGTAACACTGTTGTTGAGTAGTAAAACAGAAATGCAGAATATGATTGAACTGAGTCGTAGGCGTTTTGAAACTGCCAACTTAGATATACCACCAGCAAATGCTAGTAGATCAGGACCACCACCTAGCTCAGGAATGAGCGGCAGGGTAAACTTGCCTACAACTGTACCCAACTTTAATAATCCTTCACCAAGTGTAGTTACTGCTACAACTTCTGCTCATGAAAGCAACAAAAACATACAGACATTTTCCACAGCCAGCGTAGGAACTGCTCCTCCAAGTCTGGGGGCTTCTTTTGGAAGCCCAACGTTCAGCTCGACCATTCCAAGTACAGCCTCTCCAATGAATACAGTCCCACCACCGCCAATTCCTCCAATCCCTGCAATGCCTTCTTTGCCACCGATGCCATCCATTCCCCCAATACCAGTTCCTCCTCCAGTACCTACATTGCCTCCTGTGCCTCCTGTTCCTCCTATTCCCCCAGTCCCTTCAGTGCCACCCATGACCCCACTGCCACCCATGTCAGGTATGCCACCCTTGAATCCACCACCTGTGGCACCTCTACCTGCTGGAATGAATGGCTCTGGAGCACCTGTGAATCTGAACAATAATCTGAACCCTATATTTTTGGGTCCATTAAATCCTGTTAACCCTATCCAGATGAACTCTCAAAGCAGCGTGAAGCCACTTCCCATCAACCCTGATGATCTGTATGTCAGTGTACATGGAATGCCCTTTTCTGCAATGGAAAATGATGTCAGAGATTTTTTCCATGGGCTCCGTGTTGATGCAGTGCATTTGTTAAAAGATCATGTAGGTCGAAATAATGGGAATGGATTGGTTAAGTTTCTCTCCCCTCAAGATACATTTGAAGCTTTGAAACGAAACAGAATGCTGATGATTCAACGCTATGTGGAAGTTAGCCCTGCCACAGAGAGACAGTGGGTGGCTGCTGGAGGCCATATCACTTTTAAGCAAAGTATGGGACCTTCTGGACAAGCTCATCCCCCTCCTCAAACACTTCCCAGGTCAAAATCGCCCAGTGGGCAGAAAAGGTCAAGGTCAAGATCACCACATGAGGCTGGTTTTTGTGTTTACTTGAAAGGGCTACCATTTGAAGCAGAAAACAAGCATGTCATTGATTTTTTTAAGAAGTTGGATATTGTAGAAGATAGTATTTACATAGCTTATGGACCCAATGGGAAAGCAACTGGTGAAGGCTTTGTAGAGTTCAGGAATGAGACTGACTATAAAGCTGCTCTGTGTCGTCATAAACAATACATGGGCAATCGCTTTATTCAAGTTCATCCAATTACTAAGAAAGGTATGCTAGAAAAGATAGATACAATTCGAAAAAGACTCCAGAACTTCAGCTATGACCAGAGGGAAATAATGTTAAATCCAGAGGGGGATGTCAATTCTGCCAAAGTCTGTGCCCACATAACAAATATTCCATTCAGCATTACCAAGATGGATGTTCTTCAGTTCCTTGAAGGAATCCCAGTGGATGAAAATGCTGTACATGTTCTTGTTGATAACAATGGGCAAGGTCTAGGACAGGCATTGGTTCAGTTTAAAAATGAAGATGATGCACGTAAGTCTGAACACTTACACCGTAAAAAACTGAATGGGAGAGAAGCTTTTGTTCATGTAGTTACACTAGAAGATATGAGAGAGATTGAAAAAAATCCCCCTGCCCAAGGAAAAAAGGGTTTAAAGATGCCTGTGCCAGGTAATCCTGTAGTACCGGGAATGCCCGCTCCTGGGATGCCTGCTCCTGGGATGCCTGCTCCTGGGATGCCCACTTCGGGAATGCCTGCTGCAGGAATACCCGCTGCAGGATTGCCCGCTGCGGGATTGCCAGGTGCTGGAATGCCTGCTGCAGGAATGCCAGGTGCGGGGATGCCTGGTGCGGGAATGCCTGCTGCAGGAATGCCCGGTGCAGGAATGCCTGGTCCTAGTGCAGGAGGCGAAGAACATGCCTTCCTGACTGTAGGATCAAAGGAGGCCAATAATGGGCCTCCGTTTAACTTCCCTGGTAATTTTGGTGGGTCAAATGCTTTTGGGCCACCACTCCCTCCTCCAGGATTAGGAGGGGCTTTTGGTGATGCTAGGCCTGGTATGCCTTCAGTTGGAAACAGTGGTTTGCCTGGTCTAGGATTGGAGGTTCCAGGTTTTGGAGGTGGACCAAATAATTTAAGTGGGCCATCAGGATTTGGGGGGGGCCCTCAGAATTTTGGAAATGGCCCTGGTAGCTTAGGTGGCCCCCCTGGCTTTGGAAGTGGCCCTCCTGGTCTTGGAAGTGCCCCTGGGCATTTGGGTGGGCCTCCAGCCTTTGGCCCTGGCCCTGGCCCTGGCCCTGGCCCAATCCATATTGGTGGTCCCCCTGGATTTGGATCTAGTTCTGGAAAACCAGGACCTACAGTTATTAAAGTACAGAACATGCCCTTCACTGTGTCTATTGATGAGATATTAGATTTCTTTTATGGTTATCAAGTAATCCCAGGCTCAGTGTGCTTAAAATACAATGAAAAAGGTATGCCTACAGGCGAAGCCATGGTGGCGTTCG